CAGCCTCTTCAAGCTCTCATAACGCCTGGTAGGTAGGCAAAATCTTGACTGCAGGACATGCATGTACTGCGGAGTGGCCTACCCCGAATCTCGCAGGCGCCTGGCTCCCGTAACTTGACGAATGAATCAGAAAATAAAATAGACGGACGTACTTTCTGGACGATCCCTACGCCCCCATGTGATGACCACAACATCTCCGCAGGGACGCCGCCATGATGGCCATGCGCCGGAAGATCTGCGGCCGAAGCCCGGACGAGATCAAGAAGATCAAGAAGGAGGAGGTGGACCTTCCCGTCACGGTACAGGACTTTGGGGAGGCGGTAGCCAAGTGCAAGAAGAGCGTCACCCAGGAGGACGTAACCAAATACGAGGAGTGGATCGCAGAGTTCGGGTCGTCCTGAAGGACTCGCAACGCGAATGGAGGATAACCGCAGTGCCCCGAGTGTTTCGACACTTCTATTCACGTTGTTTAGAGTCCTTGTAAGCTATAGGGCATCTGGCCCAAAATACATTGTACAAAGAATAGTTAGTTTCTTTTGTAGATATATGTTCTTTTTCAAATAAAGTTAACTCATCTTTTTAAAACAGAATTTATTTTTTGGCAAATAATACAGGAAATACTTCGCGGGTGGGTGACAGGTACATTTGTAATTTTGTTTTTTCACTCAAATATTCAAGACGACATGAGTTTTTCCAGAAGACCCTTGTAGATGGCGTTGCCCTTAACTGCGATGTCGGCAAAGCCGGGCATGGTCGCCTGACACCGACTGAACCACGCCGAAACGTTCTTGAACTTGGAGAAATCTCCGGCCAGGTTCTAGAAAAAGCAAAATTATTAAGGAATATATTCTCAATTCCGGATACAGACAGACTAGACAGAACAGACCAGACAAACATCTTACCGTTGCCCCGTTGACCTCACAGACGCAGCAGATGTCAGCAATGGTCATGTCGTCGCCCGCCAGCCACTGCCGGCCCTCGAGCATGGTGTCCAGGGACTGGAACGCCTCATGTACGCGCTGCTTCTTCTCCTCGGGGACGCTTTTCGTCTGCCCCCTCCACAGCGGCTCCTTAACATGAACATAGCGACAAGTTTAGTTTCCAAACAATGTTGATTTAGAGAAGGAGATAAAACGAGAGAGATAGACGCGCTTGAGCACTTACAGACATGTCGCGGAGTCTATTGTAGAGGATGCTGTTGGAGAAGTGCAGGAATTGGTCCACCTTGGCCCTCTTCTTGGGGTCTTTGGGGTAGAGTTTGTCGTCCTTGCAATATGCAGAAACGAGGTACGCGCAAATAGCGTGGCTACAAATACAATTGAAATTAGTACAGTGATGTCTTTGACAGGCCATGAAATTATTTCGCATTCCGCTGTCGGTAAACGCAGGTTCTGATGGCTTTCTTACCTGTCCCAAAGGTAAAATCCGTCATCTTCCAGAGCGGGCACAGCGTGCATGGGGAATTTCTGAAAATATAACAACTGTCTCAATTGTACGTTCAAATTCATTAATTCATTTACCCTTTCGCCCTATAATATCCCACATCCACCTACTTCTTACGGGGCCAATTTCCAGTCGTCACTCGCAGACAAGCAATAGTATTTTTAAATATTTCTTTTTTGAAAGAATCACCCGCTAATGAATAAAAGTGTCTGACACCAACATGTGTCTTTTTTTAAAGTATACAAAAGGCGACGATGCGTAAAACAAATTTTAATGAAAACCACTGAAAATGGAAGGAAATGGGGGCGAAACAATAGGGTATTCCGCTGCAAGCGAACTGGAACCTAAAGAAGAAAAGCATGACTGCTCGATCTGCTTCCCTCGCGGGCTCATTGGCTGACCGGCATACCAAGGTCATCGTTGACCAATCAGCGTTCAGGAGGAAACAGATCGGGCAGTCATGCTTTTCTTCTTTAGGTTCCGGTTTGCTTGCAGCGGAATACCCTATTAAGATGAACACGAAAAGCTAGAGGTGTCACTTGGTTTGGGGTCCGACCTGTAAACTGTTTCGGTCATTCGCAAGAAATCCCCGCATGGTTTCTGACCACGGCGCCTTACGGCCCCGACTAGATAGGTAAACCACCAACCACACGCCGCTACGCGACGCAGCTCAGTACAAATATTGCGCGGGGCTACAGTCAGCCAGTTCTAAAGTTAAAAACTCCACAAACCTTGACAAACTCGGGCTTCAGGTGTTCACCGGCCGCCAGGCTCACGTTCTCGTACTGTACGACCGAGTCGAGCCGGGCAGCGCGCACGGTCAAGGCCACCGCCTGCACGGGCGGCGACAGGAGGTCCTGGTACACGATGGGGGCCATGATTGAGTAGATCTGCGGACCAAAAACAGCGCTCTCGTTAGGCCGTCAAAAAGTCAGAACGGTGCGAAACACGAACCACTTAATCCACACTCGTGCGTGCGTGACCGGCCCTGCGACTACTTAGTCGTAGAAGCGTCGCGTTGGCACCTTCCTCGACAAACTTCAAAACTCACGAACTCTGGGAGTGAAAATGTGACAAGTGTCGACCGCTCCTGCTGTTGACCGCCGGTGGTTCTGAGCTGCTCTGTTGCTGTGTGGCTGTGTGCTGCTGCCGCGCGACTGCCAGTGTGCGTGAGTGCGATGTTTCAGGAATAGCCGCCGCCGGGCCCGGGCGGTCTGCTGGGCTCCCGCCTCCCCCCCTCTCCCTTCCCCCTTTCAATGTGCTGCTGCTAGCCGGAGAAGTGGAGTCCCCTCTGCTGCTAGCTGGCGGCTTCTGGGTGCGCCCGAAGCTGCCTGACAGAGGCTGTGTCTCTCCTTTCAACAAACTCTACACCGACTGTATGTACGATCAAATTTATTTTTAATGCTCTAATATTGATTTGGTGGCTGCTCTCCAATGGGCGAGTGCCTCGCTGTACCCTGTCCTCCCCGGGACTTGTTCATGGGCATACTGGAGGATCAAAATAATTTGGGGGCGATTTCCAATTAGGGGGCGAGACAGTATCACTACCGCGCGCAGGCCCTTGTCGTGCCTAGTCGAGCTGGGAGCCACTCGAGGGGGGGGGGTGGGGGGGGGGGGGGGGGGGGGGGGGAAAGATTGTCGTTTCTAGCCAGCCGAGCTCCGCCTGTAAGGTAGGCTATCTGTGCAGAGGGGCCAATAACTCCCTTTCGATGTGTACCTATGGTTCCCGAAATACTTGTTTCCCAGTGATTTCCGTCCACTTATATTAATTCCTTAGGTTTTCCAGCGGTATAGAAAGCGCTTAATTCGACTATCTTGTATCAGTTCCATTAGTTTCCACTTAGTTTAAACGATTTCTGTTGATTTCGATTAATTTTTATCCTGACGATTTCCTGATCCCCAGGCAGATGTACACATGATTCCCGGAGTTATTGCCCCCTCGATTTGTGCTATAAGACCCTGTGTGTGGCCAACCCACGGTGCGCCCGCACCTACCCACCCCTC